GCAAACACTGCTCTCGGCCAATCAGAGCGCGCGTACTATCTTAGTTATTTAAAAAAGTTGTTGCACTGTTAGAAACCGTAAATATTTTGGAAACTGTTGTAGGCTACTCTAAGGATAGATGAGTTGTGTTCGATCTAAAGGTGAATGATCAAGTAGAAAATTTGTAAAATGATCATATTACAAAAAGAGAATAGAAAGTGAATACTTATCTGGAAGCAGGCATGGCTTAAAGACACTGGGGCTCTTCATTTTCATTTCACTCTTACTCTTGCAGGTTATTTTGACGCCCGAAATGCAAGAACGCATTCGTCAAAACAGGGAAAGGGCGTTGGCGAAACGAAGAGCTGCGCATGAACAACAAGCAGAAGAAACTAACACACAAAAAGGTGAAGACTAAGACGTCCGTGGATATCATACATAAAATGCGCGAAATTGTAAATCTCGCGAAATTAATGCGGCATTTTATGGGTTTATGAACCGTTCAACACCTGAAGCCTAGGCATACAGTCACCTCTCAGCATTCCCCGCTGCTTGGACGTTCCGTGAGAGACCCGGCTGCTAGTCTGTTCCAGGCTCCGAGATGGTCGGACCCCCGGAATTGAGGAAGCGCGGAGACGAAAAAACGGGAGGAAACTTTTTTCCCGCCCCGCCCTCCTTTTCGCGTCTTCGACACTCCCACGCGCCTTCCCCACTATCTGAGGGCCTGGAACAGGCTACCCAGCTGCGACGTGAAATGCAGCAGAGGTGACTTTGCAGGGTATAACACCTGTTGCTGAAACATTTTTGGAAAACGAGTCATGTTTAGTATAACGGTAGGTATCATAAGCCCACTAAATTGGCAATCCTCTCATCGCATGTACTAGTATGAGCAGTGCTATGCGTGGGTTTTTGTCTTAGGGCCTGTTTACATGGAGGTGGGGGACCCTAGGTAGAGTTAACCCGCTTAGGTGGGGTAACCTTCCTGTCCATATAATCTTTCGTCTTAATTTTATCACGTTTGCATGATAAATGGAGTGCCCCTCCGCGAGTTACTTCACCTACCTAGGGGTCCCCAACCTCCATGTAAACAGGCCCTTAGTAACATAAGGACTAAAAATGAGCCGGGAATCGCGGCATACTAAACTCGTACCGGGTGATTTGTATAAAAGTTTCTACCCAAGCGTTGGCCCTGTTTCATTGTGTTTTTCCCCCTATGACCAGTCCAGTATGGTGGCCCTACCACTTGCAAGCTTTAGGGGTCACTGAGACACGCAAGCGACAAAATTGTGACTAGGATATTGAGCTAAGCTATTGAGAAACGAACAGCCATTTTCCAGATTTTCCTATCTAAACCATTGTATGCGTCCACTTCAAGATTCCTATGAATACAGTTATTAGATATTTAAATTTGTTTTCAGATTTACAAACTGGAGGAACAGAACAGGCGGCGGTACAGTCCAGCAGCAATACTGTGATCGCTCAAGATAACGACGGTGAAACGGAACATCTTGCCATGGAAAATAATTCCTCTGCACAGACAAGCGACGTAGAAATGAGAGATCAATCGACGGAGACAGCTGTTTCGTTAACAGAGGGTGAACTACAATCTGAAACGAACGAAGATACTGCAACCTTACCACCGACTGACTCTACAAACGAGAATGAACCACGCGAAGATACTGAAATGGAGAACAATGAAACAGAAGGCTTTGTTGCTGACGCAGATATTGTCCAGAATGAAGAAAACCTTCCAGGGACGGGCTTAGGTGGCGCTAAACTAGATAATGACTTGTTAGAATCGACTGAAAATTTGTCAAGACAGAAAAATGATTCAGATTTGGCTGATGGTCAACCAGCAAAGGCGTTGTCGGCCTCGTCTGCTGATGTTGAAACTGCCAAAATTGGACCTGGTGACGAGACACTCCAAGCAGAGGTGTGCAGAGAAACGTTACCAACACAGGCAACGCCACCTACAGAACAACCTTCTGATCATAACGAAACCACGGAGATTCAGAGTATGGAGATAGAAAATGAACAGTAAAAACTAAATTGAGAGACTGCTGCATTCAAACTTGATCACATGACCAATTTATACAGTGGAGCCACTATTCAGGGGACACCCTCGGAGCCACGGAAAGTGTCCCCTGAATTGAGTTTGTTAATGATTAACCAACACTGAATTAAAAATGTTTCTTATATTCTGCCTCGGAATCTGCTGCAGTCATTATTTCAAGCAGCTAGATAATGTATACAAAATCATGATAAACTTATTTCTGCGACATTGTATGTTGAATTGCCACAAGTGCAGTAAATCGATTTAAGTGAGATAGATCAAGTTGTGAACGCTTCCGTCATTCTGGCTGGTGTGCACTTAAACTTATCAACGCTTTTTGTGGTCAGTCACTTTTCAAGTGCTAAGGTGTCCCCAAAATGGAGGTTAAACCTATGCTTCGGGACACAGAATAAGTGTCCCTTTCCCCTGAATAGAGGTGTCCCTTCAACAGAGGTAACAAATACAAAGATTAGGTGACCATTTTTCCGGGACCAAATTTTGTGTCCCCTGAATGGAGATGTCCCAAAGGAGGGGTTTCACTGTAGTTGCTCTTTGTCTAGTTTTGTCACTGTACAAGTTAGGGATACAACCTTCGAGACACGAAGTAACGAGCTAATTGGGGGGGGGGGGGGGGGGGGGGGGGGGGGGCTTTTTGTGTGGTCGGTGGTGTGGGGTGGGGGTGGGTGTTGTTTATTTTTTTTGTTTGTTTTTTTGGGATTTGAAATGAGGAAGGAGAAGGAAACAAGTGAGGGGAAGGGGGAGGGGGGGGGGGGGGGGGGGGGGGGGGGGGGGGGGGGGAGGGGGAGTCCCTGCCTCGTTCCAACTCTTTCACAGTCGCATATTTTGGAGATGTTTTGTAGATTGTTAAGTGAAGAGGAAGTGAAGAAGTCTCTCCTCTTTCTCTATTTTTCCTTCCCTTCACTCCACACTTGTGATCTGCGCTCGGCGTTGGACGATCATGCTTGGATCTTGCTAACCCTTAGTGGCGGGGAAATCCTGAAATTCCGCGAGCTTCGTAGACGAAAACAAACGAGTGAGGGTTACTAAATCCGTGAAAAAGTATGTATTAATTAGCGCCAAAAAGTTACTGGTAAACAAATGCAAACAATGAAATTAGATAGTAATAGTTCGTATTAGGCTACTACCTATTTCACGGTTTACGTAAAAACACTCTACTATGACAGCATGCACAGTCCTGGCCTAAGGGTTAAATGATTTCGCTCGAAATTGTACCCTTGACCTCTTTGCCCTGTAGTCTACCAGGAAGATTTTGGGAGGTAATCTCCTAATTTTAATAGGAATACACGCAGATAGAGAGTTTAGCAGATCAACTTCATACTTCTAGCACTTTATTTTTGGCTCGAAGGAAAAACGCTCCTATTTTAGAGAAACTATAAAACCACCACAAACGATCGCAATTTTAAAACAATGTTACACCTTTATTGAATACCAAAATTTTTAAATATTGCTACACTCTTGCCTTCAATATGTTAAAATATTCTCAATGGAAGAAGCACTTTCGGCTAAATATATTCAAATTATCACTACATATATGAAATTTGTAAACTTGAAATTTTCATTACTTATTAACAACCTATAATACACCCATATCATTTAACGCGATGAATATATTACAAAAACAAACGAAAAACGTGTTTCGTGTGTCCCGCATTTTTTATTTTAACTCGAAAACTCGACTGAACGCAATGACTATAGTCATTTACGGTGGAAACTCGACATAACCAAGGGCCAAGGGAGTGGCAAAATCTGTTTGGTATTACTAGGTTTCGTCCTTATCCTCGTGTTTTACTATTACTGAGGAGAAGAATATCGTTATACCACGGACTTTGTTATATAGCTATTTCGAGAAAGGTTAACGGAAAAAATGTGCACGCGACAATCCCGAAAGGTAATATGGGACATGATCAATGCACTGTTCCTGACGACTGTAGCTGTCGAACATACTTTTGTTGCTTTCCTTTAGCACTCGCAAACAAATGTCCGTGGCCTTCCGAACCATTTTTTCAAATTTCTTTGAAGAACAGTGCACTCAAAACCACCCATAATACCTTTCGGGATTGTCGCGTGCACTTTTTCCGACAACCTTTCTCGAAATAGCTGTACAGAGGTTCGTTACGTCAAGGTTGTACTGTACAGTATTGCGCAGAGGACTGCTTCTCACTCGGGTAAAAAGCAAGATTTAGACCTTATCTGAATACTCCAATCCAGATGTTTTCCAAAAGTCTTTAGCATCAGTCTTAGGCTACGTTCGATTCACACTATACCGGATAGAGCTTCTGTTCACACATAAGAACGGTGATTTCGGCGCGATTTCTAAAACAAAGCCAAGCTGCGCCGCGCCCATCTCTAAATAGGGGAGTCACACAAGGGATAGGTGTTTATGCGAAACCGGACTATAGCTTATCCGGTATAGAGTGAACATGGGCGTAATAGCCTTAAGGCCGATTTAGACGGTAAGATTTTTGCTTACGACTATCATTCCTAATTCAGCTTATTAAGTAAAGAAAAAGAAAAATGGACGGGTAGGTAAACTTAATTGAGAAGTTCGTCAGTACTCAACGGGTTATCCTTTAAATAACTCCTAGTAAGTGACCTAATTCAACAGAAACAGAAACTCACGAGTGGGTAAAGAAGCGAACTTAAACTTGATTTACAAAAAAAACAAAAAAGGCCGGGGCCGATCTTCTCAAGTTCGAACAGCGCGAACGCCGTTGATTATACTAGTTCGCTCAAACCTTGGAGACTGAAGATACGTTTTTGCGTCGTTCAAACGAAATTTTGTGCCTCTGTGAATATACTTTCATATTTTTAGCCTAGATTGAAAGAATACTGAGGAGCCTCTCGCAGTGTCCCTGTACGACATCTTACCAGGACGTTTTGGAGAAATATCCGAGACGAACGGCTGGGCGACACAAACTCGCTCCGACCACGTGACAGCCCGAAATGGTGAGCCCTAGAGAGTTTCTTACGTCACTCGACACCGAGCTTGGGACAGTTCTATCTCGATTTTTCAGTTTTTGATTGGATAGTCCAGCTTCTAACCATACAGAACTAAATAAGGTCACCATGTGACAAAAATCTATAGTAGAACAAAAAAAACCTGATATAGGTAGAGAAAAATCATTTCCGCAATCCAGTACAAAATGTTGCAATTAAGCTGAAGCTAGAGGAGCGTCCATAAGAAAGAAGAATCCATGTTGAAGTGTACTCTAGCGTACATTTATTCGTACATTCTAACTTTTCTTGAACAGCATGTAAGTAAAGCGGAAACCAGAAACTGACACGAATCATCCGCCTTCGCACACCGTTTGCAGTACATTCTGAAAAAGGATATTTACAGTGACTGGATAATCAACAAAATTAAAGGTGGCACGATCTGAGTGCACACTACCATAAAAGAAAAAAGGTGAGGTGAGAGAGCCCCGCAACTCTCCTACAAGATATCCCACTAGGAGATACCAGTGAAAAATAGTCCAACTTAACCCATTCGCCCCTGAGCCGACCGTAACCGCCCGTGCGGATCCATGTCCCTTCTACCGCTTGTGACGTCATCAGGCGATGGACAAGGACGACTTTGTCCGCTAACGCGTGCAGAGTGAAGAGATCTTTCAAACCATACCAGAATGAGCACAATTCAGTCAAGGACACCGCAGAAAAAGGCAAAAAAACATGTAACATTGACCCGAAAATTGCCATGAAAATCTTGTTCACTACCCACCTACCCTTTTCTTTCACCTAATCCTAAGATCCTAAAAGCTTTCCTAAAAACTTTTCCCACCAAAATAAAGCCTACTAAATGCCCAGCAAAAAAAAAAATGAGGCAAGGAAATCGAAAAAAGAGGGGAGGAGAGAAAGCGAAAAGTAAAAGTCAAGACTGCTGTGTCACTTTTAAACCCAAAACCTCTAAATTTTGCTTTCTACGTATGCCCGAATTTCACAAGCTACTATTTTGCAGCTGGATCAGAAGGCCGCGAAGTGTACGACCTGCAAACGGCATTGTGGTAAGTTTCATCACGACAGTGACCAGAAAACCACCCGACAAGCTTCAAAAGGCGTTTCTCAGCAAAACGTTCATAAAACATTTATAAGGAGAGTTCTTAACTTCAAGTGATCATTTTCGTCCTCATTTTCCAAGTGTACCTACAGTCAACTCTCTTTTAACCGTTCAAGCCCCTATATCCACAGACACATTTTCCAGACTGACCTCCATAGTGTTCTTTGGCTTATAAAACTGGTTTAAAAAAAAGATCATTTTATTAATTCTCATAACCTTTTGTTCTTGATGCTATAGAGCGTTTTCACATGACGTCACGACGGCCATATTGGTGTTCTAAAACAACGAAACGGCGGCCATGTTGGTGTACCAAGAAAATCCTCTGGGAATTTAACTCTTTTCAAATGTAAATGATTTCTTTTGTTCCAATAAATTAGCATAGATGCTGGCCATGTGAGTGAAAACGCTCTATATTCATGTTGTTAGGAGAAACATGTTGCTGGCCTGGAGACTTGAAGGGCTAATGGACACCTCTATAAGACGGACACCTTTCAAAAACAAACACCTACACCGTAGAGTTGGTCTCTAACGTTTGTTCGACTCTATTTGCTGGTTTTCACTTTGACGAAAAAGATTTCAGAAGTGCTATCACAAAACTAAGAGTCCTATGATTTGGAATTGAAAACTATTAAAAGATAAGTGTTAGATGTGCTAACAAATAAAGAGACTGAACTCTTAAGATTTAGAATTCTCACTTTGAAATTTTCATATACATGTTCATACGTCACATGCAACTCAGCCGAAATCTCTAGGTGCAGGTCTCAACGGTATCCGGAGTTGATTGCATTCAATCTAACGCGCTAACGCAACAGTCAGCCTAGTCTGCGCAATTTACCACTATTATGCGAAACCTCATTCAACATTGAACTCACCACCTTGCATTAATTACTAAAAGCAATCCTATAAATGTCAGCAGTGCTCATCCATGGAAGGTCCCTGTGGCATCCAATCACGGAAATGATCCCTGTAGTGTCCAGATCCTACGAACCATGGATCCAGTTCCTCTCGGCGCTGCGACTGCCGCCCGTCTGCTCTGCGAAAATACCACGGGACATAATTTGACCGCTGATGAGCACGATCACTGGCTCGTTCGAAAAACCAGTTCTGGCCGCGCTTTTGTTTGTGACCACAGGGAAACTGGGTTTCATGTTTATCAGAGGAACGTTGCTGGTCTCGCTCTTGAGCCCGCCGATCATACCAAGGGACAGACCGCTGTTCATTGCGATGTTTAAATTTCCTATCAGTCAGGAACTGGGTGTCATGTGTATCAGTGTTGCGTTGATAACATCGCTCTTGTGCCCGCTGATCATACCATGAGAAAGACGCGGGCTCATCTTGAGGCTCCCAGTGGTGACCGCACGGAAACTGGGTATTGTGTTCATCCTTGCTTCGCTGAGAGTTACGATTTTGAGCCCGCAAATCGTACCACGGAACAGACCACTGATCGGCACGTTCCTTGGCGCGTTCCCGAGCACGTTGAAACACCCAATCAGGAGGTGGAATAGACTCCTCTTTTTCTGTATCATCGGAAATACAAACTTTGTCTTGAGCATAACCCCTGTGACGATCTCTCGCATCACCCGGTCTCACGTCCGACAAGACGGGACCTTGAGCGCCTACTTCCTCCTGTCTTCTAGTTTTCACCTTGTGCCGTTTTTCGTACCATTCTTTTGAAGACAATCGGATGCCTTCGGGTGGTATTGGGCCCTCGGGCGTCTCCTTTCGGGTCCAATCTTTGTCTTGCTCTTGGCTAAGCCCGGTTTCGGTAGGTCCTTGAAGCATCCAAGGATGACCTTTAGCGCATTTCAGGTTTTTTCCCATCATTTTTTTCTTCTGAACATCAGAGGAGTCTCCGCTAGAGCGGATATCATCCGATTCTTTCGAGATTATTATAAAAGACCTGCTATCTGCCGCTCTAACGTTATCACTTGTTGTTTTATCTTTGCGTTCCAGTCCTTTCAGCAGTGTTTTAACAAGATCGATATCAAACGTTAAGTTTAAGAAACCTGCTAAAGCCCTGTCCTCCGAAACTCTCGCCAACTCCGAATTTCTAACAGTCACCTCCCTTTTCTCGTTTTCTTTCCGTTCAAATTCGCGTTTCTCTATTCCAAACATCAGCTTTTGCAGTTCTTTCTTTCCAGCTTCCCAGTAGCTAAGTTTGCGGGGATGATCCTGCCTAGCTTCAACGTTACTTTTAGAATTTTCTTCGTTGTCCTCTGATGTTTTATCGTTCTGTAACTCCTTTCCTTGAAATTTATCCTGTTCACCCGCATTCCGCGTAGGCGTTTCCGCTCCGCGATTAGCACCGAATATTGATGGCATAAACAAAGTTCTCCAGTGGAACTCTTCAGCTTTTTTAAGGGTCTTTTTGTGAACCCCGGACAACCACTGTTTAAGATTTTCCATTTGCGAGAATGTCTTCTGTTGCCGTTCTAGCGTTTTCTCTCGAACTCTAGACAGCCATTCTTTGACTTTTTCCAACTGCTGCCTAAAAAAGGCTTCATGATGACCGCCTTCCGTCTTAGCCTGTGAGCCTCTACTCTGCTCGCCTTCTTTTTCGCTCGTGTGATCATCACTTTTCTTCCAGTTTGCCTTTGCAATCTTTTCATTTGCAGTTTCGCTTGCTTCTCCTTTTCTCCTTCGTTTTTCTTTATCATACTTCGCTTGCTCCCGAACAACAGACTCGTATTCTTGCTTTTGTTTTCGCTCTCTTTCTGCTCTCTCCCCTTTCTTCTTTGCCTTTTTTCTCTTTTTAGCTTGTTCTCTCTTCCTTCTCTGCTTCTCTTTCTCAGTTTTCACTTGACGTAATTCCCTCGACCATTTCTTATATTTCTCCTTGACAGCTTTCTTTAAAGATTTTAACACTTTTTGTTGTTTTCGTAATTTGTCTTTCTCTTGGGTGATCTCACTCCTTAACCTCTCTACTTCTTTCTTCTTATTCGCATCTAAAGTTTCCTTTTTTAACTTCAACAATTCGGACTGTTTCGCTAACAACTCTTTCATCTTTTTCAACCTCGTTTTCAGCTTCTTTAGTTTTTGCTTTTCCTGCTTCAGGGCCGCAATGAATTTCTCAAGTCCATGTTTGCCTTTCTCGTGAATTTCTCTTTCCACAGATAACCTCTTTTTACTGCGCGCGAGCGCTTTCCAGGAGCGTCGTAATTTCTTCTTCTCGATCTCTAAACCACGCCTTTCTTGTTTTAACTTCAACAAGTAGCGATCTCCTTCTTCGACACGCAGCTTTGCTTTTTTTTCTTTTTTCTTTAGCTCGCGTCGTTGGATCCTGTGCTTGCGTATCTCTTCTCCTCGATCTTTAGATAAATTTCGGAGCATTTGTAGCTGCACATTTGCCTCATCTTTCCGATAAACCTTGGTTGCTTTCAAAGCTCCAAAGCTCTGAGCGGCGGTGTCTTTTTCGCCATTAATCCTGCCACGGTCAGACACACGACGCTTCACAGTTTTAACTTTCTTTAAACTGCTGATCGCGTTTCCCAAAACGTATCTTGGCACCTTTTCAGCTTCCCCTGCCCTTTTTGGACACCAAAAGTCTTTTACGTAAGTTTCCGTCAGGGGTAATCTTTCTGCAGGCATTCTCAATTGTTCTGAAGAATCTGCTTTCAAAGAACGCGGAGTTTTATCGTGAAACCAAGACACAGATTCACGAGGAAACAGCGGGTTATCAAACTGAGGACCTTTTGTGAACTCTTTCGCTATTTCCTCACCGTTATCCTGGTTTTCCACGTTATGTTTGGTGAGTGGCGTTACCACTTTGTCGTCTTCGTGATCATGATTCTTACTCGCATCCTCCACTGACCTCTTAACTAGGCCTTCCATAAATATCGGAGTATACCAAGGAGAGATCTCTGTTTCCTGTGATACTTTTGTCACAGAACCTTTGCAAGACAACCGTAACAGATAGTTCTTTTCTTCTGGGTCATCAGAAGCACACTTAGTACTCACTGAAGAACTGTCCTTTTTGCGTCCCTTTAACAGCAAGTCCTTTGTCCAGCGGTCTCTAAATTCTCTCCACATATTGTCATGCACGCGTGAACTGCTGCGTTCATTTTGCTCCAGTTCTTTAGCTTTTATCGCCGATAACTCTTCTTCCGGGTTTTTGTCAACCTCCGAAGGGTGTGTCAACTTTTGACTCTCATTTACAGGACCTCTGTCTTCAGATTTTTTCCATCGATTTAGAAAATCCTTCCAGTATCTGGGATGTCAAAAATTGTAGTGTTAGTATAGTGGAACCTTGATAGACGAAACTCTATATAATTGACACTGGCCACTTTTGGGACTTAAAGTGTTTAACCCCTAAATGAGCATTATATTGGAATATTGTCATGCCTAAGATCATAAATAGTGAAGGTATAAAGCTGTCAAAAGATTAAAATAATTTTAAGGAAATTTATAAAAAAAAACGTTTTAAGTTGCTGAACTGAGCACGGGCAGCTTATCAGAAATAAACAACTTTTTGCACAAATAATGCCCAAAGTGATTCAACCTTCATCATTACAATGAACATAATAAAACTTGCTCATGGCAATTTATCACACCAAATTTAATTTGGCTCCTTTGTTCATAAAAATCTATAGCCATTTTCTCTTCTGCTGCACTGTTGAATAAATAATTCTTACGGAAAACCCCTTTTTGAATCAGCTCTTACTTGTCAAACTTGATGCCATTTGCCACTGCACGGCGCAGTTTTGCATTTTCATTCATACGACGCCACAGATCAGCAGTGTGTTTTTCATGCAAGTAGAGCTGTTCCATGTGTTCCAGCTGTTCTTGCAAAGCCTTGTTCCATTCACCACCTCCTTCCTTCTTCGATTTCTCCTCCTCATACTTAAGACGCCAGTACCATGACATAACTCTACTCATGCGCAAACGCTGTTTCACACTTTCGTGCAAGCTCGTGAGTCTAAAGTGTTTCTGCTGAAGTTTCTCATGCAGTGCTTTAGTGTCAAATAAGTCTCCCAAATCATTTTCAGGTTCTGGGTCTCTCTGGGAGTCAAGACGGTCTTCAATTTTCCACATTGTTAGTTGATCCAAGAAATCACGTGATACTTCATCCAGAGATTCCATGGAGTCAGAGGTAAGGGGAAGTGAGGCTGTCTTGGGTCCAGGTCTCTTGACGTTTCCAGTCACCTCCAAGGCTTGGCTACTAATGTAGACACTTAATCCTGCCAAGTTAAACAAAAAAAACAATGTTTTATCACATACACAGGGTTACAAAACAAGGAGCTGCCAAGTTTTGTTATGACAACTTTTTATTTTGTTTGATGATTACAGGCAATCACAGATTAAATTATCTGAGAATGAAATGATGTTTCTTGCTTTCCTTGTGCATCAGTCATTTTCAAGGTCAAATGTGTAATGTGGCCAGCCTTGTTGCACATCAAATCCCTGAGTTTACACAGCTTACTTTAATATACTAAATGCCCGGGATAAGCCAGGAAGCATTTAAAATTAAATTAAAAAGACAGAAGTCACTACTTTCACATGACATTTTCACAAACATGGTCAGACAAGTAAAATTGGTTGTTACCTCACCAAAAAAATATTATTTACTTTAAATATTGTGTAAGTCTTACCGTATCCAATACTGAAACCAAGAGCGGTGGTTACGCCCAAAAGAAGAAACAATGTTGGAAGATCAAAGGAAACATAGCTACAGTTGTCTGTTGTCACATGAAGGTCCTCAGTTATATCTGTACTCTCCCCTTCATTTTGGTCACTCTCTTTAAGACTTTCACCAGCCTCAGAAAGCTTTACAATGTCTGCAGTATCATCTTCTCCCTTGCAAACATCTTCATCTAAATCACTTGGGTTAAACAAGTCACTGTCAAATGAAAACAAGCTGTTCTTAGAGTCAACCATTGTATCAAGGGTGTCCACATCATGGCCTAATTCAACAAAATCTTGGCTGCTGTCCTCTTCTGGAATAGGCTCAATATCGTTGTCTTCCTCTGAGCTGTTCGAGTCACTGGGAAATGAGTAAGAGCCACTTTCTGAGAGCTGAGGTGGGTTTTCCCAACCATCAGTAGTTGCTGTAATGGCACAAGAAGATGGCAGATTTTCTTGAGTGCAGTCTTGTTCACATTCAAGGGTTACTGGAATATCAACATCATCATCATTACTTGTGGAGTCAGTCTCATCATTCATACAAAAGTGATTAGAGATGATCATGATGCCATCATCAGCAGCACACTGGCAGCCATTCTGTTGGACTGGAACAAGTTGATCTTCTGACTTCTCACCATAAATGTCACTATTTTCCGCTGACTGTTCATTACTCTCAACTCTTTGCAAATCTTGAGTGCTTGCTAGCTCTTCAATTGATGGCGGATGACACTGAAATCCAGTTAGCACCTCAAATTCTGCCTCCCCCTCACTGTCATCCTTATCAGGGACTTCAGTAGGAGAAACAAGAACCTCATCCTTTGCTTGCAGTGGTTTTGAGTAAGACACAGAATTCTTCCGTGGCTGCAAGAAAGTTTATAACAATGCTTGTTAGATAAGACCCATTAACATCTTTTTCCATGACCTTTTTTGGGAAAGCAAACATGACTAAAATTACTAAACCAGTATTTCTATTAGAATTTTCCTGACTTGGAGGAGGTAGCATGGCCAGACGGTCAGGGCCTCGGACTCGCAATCTGGCAGTCCCAGGTTCGAGTCCCACTCTGGCCACTTGCTGGATTTGTTCTTGGTCGTCCCGAGTTCAAATCTTTAGGCACGCTTGTAAATAGCCAACTGGTTGCCTCCTGCTAGTTGGGGTTTTTAATCCTGTTATGTTGCATTTGAATTATTTATTTCTAAGTATTTGAGAGAAGTGCCTGTAACCTAGCTGGATAAGCTAAGTGCACTTTCCACTATAAACAAGCCTTTAAACTTAGACGGTCAGTGCCTCGGACTCGCAATCTGGCAGTCCCAGGTTCAAGTCCCACACTGGCCACTTGCTGGATTTGTTCTTGGTCGTCCCGAGTTCAAATCTTTGGGCACGCTTGTAAATAGCCAACTGGTTGCCTCCTGCTAGTTGGGGTTTTTAATCCTGTTATGTTGCATTTGAATTATTTATTTCTAAGTATTTGAGTTAAGTGCCTGTAACCTAGCTGGATAAGCTAAGTACACTTTCCACTATAAACAAGCCTTTAAACTGTTTTTTAACCTTTGATCCACAAACTTTCAAAATTTTAAAGGATTTCTTTGCATCTCATCTATGCCACTCAACTAGCACTGGTTAAAAAATTTTGGATAATGCATATACAGGGTTTGTAATCTTTTGAGCTCCTCAAATTCCAGGACTTTCCATGACTTTTTCCGTGACCTTTTTAAGTTTTCAGTGACCTTAGGTTTAGCTGTCACTTACAAATTTTTAAAGTGTTTGTGTTTTAGGTTATTATTGGATCTTAAATAGTTCAAGAGACACAAACTCTGGTGTCCACTTGAATCACTTGAACTCTCTATCTTACATTGTCCTTGCTTTATCATCAGCAGTATAGGGACCTTAAGCAAGGACGATGACGATGGCAGTGAAAACGTCGGGGAAAAAATGAATTTGCATTCTTTCAAAGTTAATCGCGTCTTTGGACCTGCTCAATATGTCAAAATGCAGGCGACTTTTCCTGAAGTTGAATTCTTAAGGATATTATTCAGGTTAAGAAGAGAGGAAGGAAAATTAGTTGTCGTATGTCCACGTCCTCCATAAAACGGCAAATTAGGAAGTTTCACGTCGTAGTCGTGCAGTGGACGTCAAAGAAATGTCCTAAAAAGCGTGATGCACATTCAGAGCTGTTGTTTTGATGATTCATTAAACGTATTGTCTTTTGAAGTAGTTGCTGTGGTGGTCTTCGTAATTGCTTAAGCTCCCCAGTAACTAATCTACCAAACAAAACTTAAATTTTCCACAACTTTCAAGGACCAACAATTCAAATCCATGACTTTCCAGGCCAAACAATATGATTCTTAAATTTTATAACTGTCCAGGTTTTCCATGACCCATACGAACCCTGATATACATGATTAAATGCAGTTTTCTTCGAGCATTAGGCAATGGCACACAACGAAGTTATTGTTTAGCAATTAATCACTCCAGCAAATCATTGTAAAGAGTTCCATACACCCAATTGCCCAATTTCCAATGATCTATTGTTAAAGCAACCTTAATTGAATTAGGTATACATGTTTTGATTCAATTTCATCCTTGGTGTTAAATATTATTTTCCTTCATTTCAAAGTCGTAATCACACATTACCATTTAAACCAAAGTTTAAAGCAAACCTCAACACATCCACCAGATAAGTCACTATTCAGCAATAAAGTATTAGCAAGACCAATATCATTGCATCACTGACTGAATAGTATTATCCACCTTCATGCAACAGTGCTGGAGCAAGAATTGAAATTGGAGAAAACAATAACCAAATTTGACAACTCCTCACTTCACAATCAATTTTGATATTTCATAGAGAGCAACTATCTGAAGTTTTAAGTTTCTTTTTGCTTTTGCTACAACAGTTTGGTTTTGTTCACTTTACTTGACAAGAAGAAACTTGCAAAAAAAGACCTTTTTAAAGATCTTAATTTAGATAGAAGAAATTTTAGAATGAAGTGTCATAGGCTAAAAGTCAGCCAAAATTCCATACATTCAACTGTAATTTAAGCTGTATTTGTCCCCCAACCAAGATGGCACAAAAAACCATGGATGGGTTTTTGTCCAATAATATTAGTAGACAACATACAGCTCCCTTGTCATAACAAAATAGGCCACACGTTGGGGTAAGACGATACAAATGAATTTAAAGTAGTCTGTTTTTTTCCTTGGCAATTCACTATGACTGAAATCCCAAAATCTCTTAGTGACTAACAACACTAATCTACATCTACATACTAAATATCTTTAAATAATCCTAATTTCAAAGTCCATGTATCAGAAAATATTATGACATGTGGTACTGAAAATAACTTTCTGCTCTGATCAACACCAATCATAGTCTTGTTGCAAGATGACTGCAAAAAAGGCTTAAACATTTACAAAATAATGAATACACACCAATAAATACTGGTGTTTATTTTAAGTGAACATGTGGCTTATGTAACCACAGGTGACGAGAGCCAGCTGACCACGTGATCTATTGTTGACAAGCGGACGAACGGGCATGCAAAGGGAAAGTACGCGTCGATCTGTTTTAAATTGCAAATTTAAAAAAGCTTGGGTACATTTTGTAAACAAACAGCCATGAATTGGCGGCCGCCGTAGGAAAAATATAGGTGCACAAAATGCACGTAGTAGGCCGAATGTACTTTCTGTGTAAGACTGCACACATGAAAACGCAAATGAACTCTATTTAGTTTGCTTCCTTTCGCGGGCTAAATATTGCCGCGCCGGGTTGTTTCTCTCGCGTTTGCAGTAAATTGCTTAACTACAGTTTTACTGATTTCCCATAATGAGAAAAAATAGAGTCGTTAGGCTTCGAACATTTTCAACAATGCTCTGTAAAAACAGCATATGCAGACACTAAAAATTATCGAACCAAAAGTGATGCAATGCACGTACCTCAATGTCAACTTTGCCTTCCCTGTCGACAAAGGTCCAGTCGTTTTCAAAATCGTCTTTTTCGTTGGAAGCCATAACATCCGGCAAAAAATTACATTACGATGAAAACAACATAGCAATTGAAAATTACAGGTTCCTCCTTCAAACCTATTGAAACAGGAGCTAACTACTTTGAACCGAAATTTTTCGCTCCTCAATGTTTTGGTTTTGGGCAACAAGGCGTTCAATGTTATTGGCCTCGAGATCACGTGCCTCAAACTGGCCAATGAAAGCGTTTGTACGGACATATTTACCCACCTATTTTGAAAGTTAGCCAATCAGGGATAAGAGTGTTGTAAACAAACATATTTCGCGGACAAGAACAACGCAGATCAAAATGATGCAACCAGAAACAAGTGGCGAAGAGTAGGTTACTACGGAATAATGCCACGTATGGTTGACGATTTCGAAACGTGCTCCAATCCACCATTTTCTGCTGTTTCAGCACAGCATCCTTAAGCAAACAGAAACCAACGCGACCTAAAATTTGTGGAAAGGGTGTGGAGTTTTGCATATTTTAGGCAAATGCAAAACTATGGTGAAACAAGACTTGGAAAGCTTCCACTTTTTTCGACGCGTCCATATCAACATTTCTGCGCCTTGAATAGCAATATTATTAATTTTCGTCTTTATGTGTAGCTTTGAAGACGTTGCTTAAGCCAAGCTAAAACAAATACAACTACTAGTATGCTATGAAAGTCTGAAGTTAGCTGAGTTAACTTAATTTATTATTTCATGAATGTTACCTAGTTTTACCTCACAATATAAACAAGTACAGGCCACCAAGCGAATAAACTAAAGTTCGAGAAGAAGCGAGCACTTTTCTCACAAAATGGTCACTTGAGATTGGCTAAAACCAAAGCAAGATTTTACACAGGTAGCCAGTTGTTCTTTAAAATATTTTAATAAAACAGAAATTATTCAGGACAACGCCCAAAACTCTTCCAAAATCTAAATTAAGTCCCAACAAATGATTTTAATTGTCACTGAATATGTAAAACTGACTAAATTTTGTAAGCCACTGGGAAACTGTCGATATTTTAGTCACATTATGTGCTTTTAAATCTTTTGGCAAGAAAATAAATATGCATACAGGTGCAATTTCCCTTCCCTGTGCTTCTCAGCTCCTGGATCATTTTGGCTCTGTTAGATTTTATTTAACAGAGCCCCAAATGCTTGAATTTTTGCCACATAATAATTATATACAAGTGTGTGAGGTTGTGAACCCACCACTTAATTAACAAAATCTAGTCTCCTTTCAGTTTTCACGTTGTTACTCAAAACCACAATTAGTGCAATAAAATGAACAAAAAAATGTTTCCTGTAGATTTATTTTAGTATACATAAAGACAGATGTAAAATGTGCATGATGTAGACCTTTTAATTATTATTATGCAATTACAAGATCGTAAGTGCAGCTCTACAGTAGAGAGAGTTGGTTCTATTTGGCCTTCTTTACAATACAAAGAAAATCACTAAGTATCTCATTGGGGTCACCAAATTGACTCAAAGAATAGATTTTTGAGTTTTCCATTAATCTAAACTAATATTTTTATCCAAAATTTTCACAAAATCCTATTAAGATAATATTAGTGGAAGGTTTAGACTACAAATGGTCCCCATTTTTTTCTCAGGGTTAGTAGAGTGAGCGAAACGCGAGCGCACATGAAAATCACCCCACGCATGTTTCCCTGAGGAAAAATGGGGACTACTCTTTGTCTATGAAAGGTTTGAATGTAGAAGTTATTTCATGAGTAGCTGGAACACGATCATCCAGGTGATTGTAGTCCTGAATAGGACTGTTGTTGATAGTCACTGTCAACAACAGTCTGTACTACTCTTACCCTGAAAATTATATTCAACCTACTTATATCATAATATTATTGGTTCTACAAATTAATTTGTTTCAGATTTTTTTAGCACTTCCACACTTCTTAAACTATTTGCAACAACATTTCATCATTACTACTGCATCATTGCCCTGCTGTGTTTGATTAGTGCATTGCTTCTGAATAAATGTTTTGGGGGTGGGGAGGGTGGTGCAAGTACAGAAAGTAGGATGAATTTCTTTGGGGGTTCAGTGGGTTGATGAGGGAAAGGGAGTGTAAAAACAAAAGTGAAGTAAAGGTCAAAGGTTCCAGGTATATTTATCCAAGAAAGCAACCACCTAAGGTCACCTAAGGACCCTATGCAGAGACACTCTGATTGTTGTATATCCCTGTCAATAAAGACTGCATTAATCTAAGCAGACGGATGGATTCAGATACAATCAAAAAAGAAGCAGTCAGATACCAAAAAGGAGAAAAAAAACAAAACCACATCAGACACCAAATAAAAAAACCTTTTTAGCTGAATTTGAAAACTAAACACTATAAAAAGACAAATCTCAAGACATGAGAAGTGAAGCTTTTCATGACAAAAACCAAAAACCAACCTAAAAATGGCCAAAACTGCAAAACTGAAAATTCCAACACCCCATAATCTAAGCTTTATCACCCACAATATCTCATTAGCAGCTCCATATAATGGCCTACACCAAGGACACCAAGAGGCTCCACCCAAAAGGGGTTATGAAAGGGTAGGGATTTCACTGGTTGAGGGGGTGGGAAACCTGTCATTTGAAAAGGTCCAACAGGGCTATCTTACTGAGAGATTCATTTTATGACTGTGAAAAAGACAAGAAAACATTGTGGTTTTGTGATTTACTCATATTTTGAACACAGTCCATTTATAGCAGTTAAAAGAGATTTTAAGAGGTCCCATTTGTCAATAAAAGGTATACAAACGGTAGGGGTACCTTTTCTGTTAAAAATGGTATTTAAAAGGGGTAAGAGGTTGAACCTTGGGGCCGAGCCCCCCAGTATAAAACTTTATTGAGCAGCCACCAGCAGCCCCCCCTCTGCCTCACCCCTGGGACTTAAAACAGATGTTTCTTCTTTGTATAATACTACAAACTGAAGCGTTCTATCAGTATCTCCAATGTATTCCACTGATCATCATATATATATTTTCAATTCCTTCAGCCTCTACTGTACGTATGTGAGAATTGGCCAGCTTCCACTGGCACCAGGCTGTTAATTTAAGCCAGACCTCCAACAGATGGTTAAACTCCCAACCTACACAAAAGGTGATGGAAATCAACATCAAATTCATCCAAGCTCTCAATATCAGGCAGACAACTCTGATCTAGATTTTTCTTTTCCATGTGCATGTGCCCTTTTTTCCGACTCCATTTACTATTTCAGCCTCCATTTTTTAAGTGCCCAAAGAGCAGTTTATCGAGAAGACGAGTCATCTTCACGTTTTTTCCCTCGTATAAGAAGAACGCCACTCATATTCGGCTTCTGTTCTCCACGCGATGAAGTGTTCTTTACTTGCTTCTTTGTAACTTCATTCGAATCAGCAGTTCCAACACTCAAAACGTTCTCTTTTTTCTTCTTTGAGTCACGCTTGCTTGCATAGTTTTCAAGCAAAGGCTTGTAGATGTATGCTCCACTTCCAACTCCAAGTAAAGTTACAACAAACAACTGGTTTAACGGAAGTCTTCTCACAAGCCTAAGAACCATTTTCTCTGAAATGTCAAAAATAACCAGGCGTTATTCCCCCTAGCAGCGTAAAGACTGGATCCTTATAAACGTTAACGCCTTGCGGATTTTAACAAAACAGCGCATGGAGGTTGAAACAGAGAGAGATTTTATTGTGAGGAGACGAAAGAAACAACATAACGATGTTTCATGGCGTCATAATACTACTACGGAAAAATCTGGTGCCTCGTTTGAATCTGCAAATGCCATTGTCTTGGCAGAAAGGTCTTTATTTGTTTGGCTGCTCCTGTTTAGAATACTAAATGCAATTCTCATCAAGACTTTTTTTGTCCCTGACGAATTCTGGCAGGGACCAGAAATTGCTCACAGAGTGGTATTTGGTTATGGTTACTTAACATGGGAATGGAAAGAAGGCCTCAGGGGCTGGACTTCGCCACTAATCTTTGCAGCAAGCTATAAGATGTTAGCTGTTCTTGGAATGGACTCTGCAAAAACTCTTGTTGTGGTACCCAGGTTGGTTCAGTCATTTTTTGCCGCATGTGGGGATTTGTTTTTGTACAAGCTGGCGGTTAAAAGATTTGATCTTCAAACTGGTAGATGGACGCTTATCTGCTACTTAATGTCATGGTTCACATTCTACAGTGTGACAAGAACTTTGACAAATTCTTTAGAAACTGTTCTAACAACAATAGCCCTTTATTACTGGCCTTGCGACATAAAAAAGGAAAATAATACTAAAGATGTCGTTAAAGCTCTCAGTTTTGCAGCTTTTTCTTGCATCATCAGACCAACTGCTGCAATCATTTGGATTCCACTATGTATTTGGTATTTAATTTTCTCACCAAACAAACTAGGATTTATATTTAGATGTGTTTTGCCAGTTGGAATGATGGCCATGTTGTGGTCACTGATTTTGAACAGTTGGTTTTATGGAAAGAGGACACTAGTGGAGCTCAATTTTGTCAAGTTTAATGTCATTAATGACATGGGGTCGTTTTATGGAAGTCACCCCTGGCACTGGTAAGTAGGTTTAATTGTTATATGTTTACTTGCCACTCTTGAAAAAGCACTATATTTGGGAGAAAAACTAACAATAAGCACTGCCCCTCAAATATTAAAGCACCATCAATCAAAATCAATTAATATTTAATTAAACTAACAGAAATTAATAATGCTCTAGTTAAAGCAATATTGTAGGTTTTACTGTAGTTTCTGCTTTTATCTTCTACAACCGTGCAACTTTAAAAGCCTTGTAGATCAGAATATTATCATAAATGAAGATATTTAGATGCTTTAAATTTCTGCTATACAATAATTGAACCTTCACCTTTTAACAACCACCCTTAATTAAGTGGCCAGCAGTCAAAGTCCCAAAGTAATTGTACAAAAGAATGGGGAATTAAGCCTCTATTAAGCAGCAACCTCATTGAGCAGCTGCGACCTCCTCTTGGCCGTCCTAACGAGAGGTCTCCCATTGTTGTCATCTCTATCAAGCAGCCATCAAGGGTTTGATACACTTAGTTTGGGTTCTGTTTTAGAATATGATGAAGGGAAATACAGTCTGAGATAGAAGGTGATGACCAATTGTGGACTAGTAATGTTTCCACACATTTTGTTTTGTTTCAGAATAAAGTGTTACTTTCTGCTAAAGATTATTGCTCATTTCTGACAAACCTCTATTGAGTGGCTAACCTCCATTAGGCGTGGCCGCTTAATGAAGGTTCAACTTTAGTAACATATATCCGAGACCTTAATCATAAAATCTTGATTTCTATGTAGCCCTTTATAAGGGGAAATTAACTGTTGTCTACTGAATTTTTGTCATCAATGTTTTGATATTGCGATAATATTTAGGTACTTGACCCAAGGTTTTCCTGTAGTAATGTTTACACACATGATTCCTTTTCTTGGTGGAATTTACAAAGGCATTTCAAGACAGCAAACACTAGCATGGCTCATCTTATGGACCATTTCCATTTACAGGTTTGTAAAATTTTTGTATTCACACGCAGGAATAGCATAGAGTCCCACAGGCACAAAGCATACAAGCCTTCCACATGCATTGGTGCAGGGGCTTGTTTTTTGCATCTCTCACCAGTCTTACTCTCTCTCTCTGTCTTCACCTTCACTTTAGACCTTTCATTTGACTGCTCACATTTTTGTGACCTGTGCTAAAAATTTATGAAGGCAATAATTATGGACTGGTTTGCAGTCTAGACTTTATTAGTTTGTTTTGACATGTACATAGAACAGAATCAACGTAAAGTATACTGATCTCATGTAACATTATTTTTTGCAGCTTCCTTGACCACAAAGAGTTTAGGTTCATTTTTCCTGTGGTGCCTCTGGCGATGTGCTACTGTGGTCTCTTCCTAAGTTCTCTTTGCGAGCCTCATCTAACCAAACAGAAGCAATCCGCTGATCATGGCTTCTTGGCAGGGCTTCTTTGGTCTGGATGGAAAGCAAGGTCACTGATGATATTTTTAGCTGTAACAAACATTCCATTGATGCTTTACACCAGCACTGTACATCAGAGAGGAACTATTGATGTCATGGATTACATTCAAGTTGAAAGTGCAAAAATTAGAAAGGACAATGAAATGTCAGTGTTGTTTTTGATGCCATGCCATTCTACACCATTTTATAGGTACAGGACATTGTGTTATTTTGTTTTAATTTGCAGGTAGTTAAATATTGATCAATTTTTTTGAAAATGTAGACTCCCCTCACCATGTCACTTTCCTTAAGGAATGAATTTTGGAAAGCCCTAGTGAAAATAATTATCAAGAGAAAGAAGAGAAACGATGTAATTTTATAAAGGTTTGAGAATCAAAGGAAAATACTACAACTTTAAGTACCAGTAATTTCTTTGACTTTAATTTGGTTTGCTTTATTACATCTAGTTTGATTGTTGATCAGAAAAAAATGCTTTTAGTTTCTTCATGGTGTTGTTGATGATGATTTTTATTTTTTAATTGTTTTTGCAAAAAATGTATAAATTGAAAAAAACTGAGGGGCTGAGGCCAGGATAAAACCAATTAAAATACCAATAAACTCTCTCTGGCTAAAATTTTTTTCAAAAAACACAAGCTTTTGTCCCCCTGATCTGCAACTTCTTCAACATACAAAATGATTCAAGAAAGCAAAAAAATTCTAAAATATAGTGTGATAAAACATGAATACAACAGAATAAATTCACATAGGAACAAAAATTAAGAAAAAATACATTAAAAATTTTTGCTAAGAACAATTTTAATTACATTGATGAGACTGATTAGGGTGCACAAAATGTTAATATAATTGCATGCTATCTTGGGAAAGTTATCTAAGTGTAGCTGCTTGTCAGTTTTGTTCACAGAAATATCAGCATGAGAATATTAGAATGTCCACCAAGTGATGAGCAAGGTTACATTGATGAAGCTGATCAGTTCTTCATGAATCCCTCTTCTTGGCTAATCAAACAGTATGGAAACTCCCTGAGCAATGAAGAACAAGACCATCTTCCTACACACATTGTCATGTACAATGCGCTGTTACCAGTTAGTTATTTATGTTATTGTTTTATTTGCCAGTGTAAATACAATATTATGGTAGCAAAAATCACACTAAAAAAAATCCTAATCTTAAGACACATTGGAGACTTCAAAGGCTTGACACAATTCAGCAGGCAGAGCCTGCTTTTTTCATCCTTGATTTCAGTCAAGCCAGGTCAAGCGTACCCCACAAGATTCCATTAATGAATTTATTATTAATACGAAAGTTGAATCATGGGTAGTTGTTGATTCATCTCTGTATTCTTGCATGTTTCCTTAAATTTGATGTAAATGCCTTCTAAGAAATTTCATCCATTCAAAGATTTTCAATCTGACCAACTGCAGACAAGTTTTCGTGAAATATTCACTGCTCGTTACACAAGCAGGAATGCTGAGGATTTGAATGTAACACTAGTTACGGGAATGACTAATGGATTCCTTTTTTCAAATAATTATTAATAATTCATTAAAGAATCTTGGGGGGTACGCTTGACCTTCCTTTACTGTAAGACAAGAGTTCTGCTTAATTTTGGTGGAAATCTTTAGCCCATGGCCCTTAGTGACAGCCCTGGTATAAAGCAATAGGGACCTTTAGATTCTAAGACAAGTACGACAACAAGTACGAGATTTTCTCACGACTAAGTAGTGCACTCACATGAGCCAGCATCATTTTGGTGGGAAAAGGTGATGGTCTTCATCATTCTACTAACGAGTTTTGGCAAGAATGTCATGTTAGTGGAACACAAGTTATTAAGCATTATATGTTTCACTATTTTGCGGCTGGGAGATAACTTAACCTCCTTCAATAAAGATAACAGTGCTAATTTTTTTGGAGAAAAGGATGTACAATGAAGCTGTCCAGGGTGTCTACTATTTGAGAAAACATGAAAAAACTTTAAGTTCAATCTCGTACTCGTAGTCTTTCTCGTCCTAGAATCTAAAGTTCTCTAGTATCTGTTCACAAAATTTTACCCCATAGAGTTGCATATTACTCCTACGCTATTAGCAAACAGTTACTCCTGCCATCAAATAAATATAATCATTATTTATAGCCCATGTTCAGCAGCAGCCTAGACAAAGTGCTAACCTCCTTTAACTTATGTTATCTTTTTTAATCGTTGTAGGATGTTGCAATGTTTTTGGACAAGTTTCTGTACAAACAGGTAACTTAAATACAATAATATCAAAATTATGATTGTATTTCCTGGGAGATGATTGTTTCTAGCATTAAGAAAATTGAAGGCGAGAAACATTTTGCTGTATTGCCATATATTATTGATTTTCCTATAGAATTTTGTTGAGTCTAACTTTGTCTGAGTGAAAGCGTTGCTTAGTGTACCAGTGCCTGTCAATGCGTTCTTTTAATGTAATTCCCTAGAAAACAAACCTGTGATAGATAATTTTCAAAGAAACTTGGTTCAGGCTCTGGAAGAACAATGCAGTGCAGTTGACCTGGTACTCTTTTTCTTTTTCAGCAAGCAACCTTCTTTCACACCCATTTTCCAGATGGAAGGATAGGATCAGAAGTATTGGTATATAGCAGAGAAAAACCAGCTGAAACTAAGGAAAAAGCTTAGGAAATAAAATTACTGTATATTTCTCAACAACATGTGTTTAATGACAAAAGGATGAACATGTTTGACATGGGGTTTCTGAACTTCCCTGACTTTTTCCTTACAAATGTAAAATTTCCCTGACCAACTGAACCAACAATTTCACAAATTATTCCTGAGAATGGACTCAACCCTTCCCTCACAGTCATCCTCTTCACCCATTTACAGTTCAACCTGTGTACAACGGTCACCCTTGGGAAATGGCAAGGTGACTGTTATATACAGAGTGACCACTATATTACAGGGAAACTTTGCAGAAACTATAAGACAACTGAAAATTTTTCGAAGTTGTTGGGTGACCGTAATATGTGGGGTGACGGCTATATACAGGGCCATTATTTATAGGTTTGACTGTATTTATGCTTTCAGTAAGTCATGTGCAGTGTACATAACATAACAAAACCTGCTGCTCAATTTCGTGAACGATAATCTACCAATACAACAGGATCCGTGTCCATAAAATGTATTAATTAAAGAACTTTAAATGTTAGAAAACAAGAAAAGCAGAGGGAAAAGAATTAATATGCATGCACTCTTAAGATTTCATTTTCCCCTGACTTATTCCAAAGATATAAATTTTTCCTGACAAGAAGTGAAATTCCCTGACTTTTCCCTGACCTTGAAGAATTTTTTTCCCTTTTCATTTCCTCACCAGTGGCAACCATGTTTGATCTCCTCAAGAAAAACTCATTGCCACTTAATAAATAAATGTGATTTTTATTTTAACCCCCTCTTGAACACCTTATTGGCTGAAACACGATTTTTACTTCTTCAGCCACTGTTGATCACAATACTACTTTCCACAACTGTACAAGACTTGACTTGACTATGACTTGCAATTGCATCTGAGGAAGAGAAATACCATTTGAAAAAAAGAATCAGAAGAAAGATTTTGCTCATGCACAAAAAATATTTTTAGACAAGGTAGTGAATTTTAAGGACTTTTCAAGACCTAATAAAGAAATAAACAGTACCTTTCATAATTCAAGGACCTTCACCAAATTCAAGGACTTTTCAAAAAATTCAGGACCTTTTCAAGATTGTATGAACCATGCTTATCTTCACTGAATTCAATGGGTTAAGCAATGAGAGCATTGATGTCCCATACATCAAAAATGGCAACCAGAAGTTGCTATTTTCTCTCCTTTATTGCTCTGACTGTACAAATAGAGCCAGAGTTAAAACAAAGGCATTCTGATTCGTTGTGTAAGATAGGATCGTCCCATCTAGTAAGACATCAAACTTCCGGGTGCTATTCATGACTTCCAGGACATCAGTGTTCTTGTTTGCTTACCGGTAAGTTCGCAATTGCAGACAGGACTCAGTGAAATAGGCTGTGATGCAGACCATTATCTTCTTTTGGCAATTTTGTTTTGCGAATTTCAGTTTTTTGCTCTCTGTGGAAGGTTGGCATAAGTGGTGCATATGACCTGGTCAAGGTATTGACAAGCAACTGACACATTTCTTGTTTCCAGTGAAAATTTTCATTCTTTGTGGTTTCTGGGGAGGACAATGAAATTTTATAAAAGATCAATGCACTCTCTCCCTTTCTTTCTCCACCCTGGCCTCATGCTCTAGCCTTCCACACAGTCATTCTTAGGGCTTCCAATCACCCATTCCTGTTCCTTGAGAGAGGATCCTTCCACACTGGGAGGACTTCATAAAAAGCCAAAATAAAGTCTGCGTGAGAGGCTACTAAGGCTTGTGTCTCTTTTTATGTTCCAACTCCCAAGTGACTTCTCCCAACTTTCCCAAAAAGGAGAGCTCTCTTGCAGGCCATACAGTTGTCTGCCACCAAGCGGTCACTTTGATTGGTTATGCTCTAACTGCGCTTTTCAGAAACACGTGAACTCTAAAATTCAAAAGCTGCCTTCCTAATTGCATTTTTCGCAGCCATCAATCATAGTATTACGATCACAAGCAATGAACCTTGAAACACAGAAACAAACAAAGCAGATCGAAATCTACCAATCACAGATCAAAACCATGACCTTTTGAACCTGTTTAAGTAAAGTTCTGTTTCCTAAGAGGTCTGTTAAGATGACTGGTGACAGCGAAAATTGCAAACATCAATTGTCTTTTGAACTTCAGAGTGTATGGTTTTTGAAAGTGCAGTAACATTCTCTAGAAAAATATCAGCAAAAGGGACACGATGTCTCTGCATCGGAACATTTAATATTTCATCCCATAAAAATGGAAACAAATATGTACAAATTTTTTTACATTCTTAGTCATCGGAAGTTTTAATATTATTAGCCTGAAAGGAAAGTGAAGCTTTATAAAATAATTCTATTATTTACATGTTTTAGCTTTTGAACCAAAATTGGATATTGATTTAAACAATCATGGCATTTGTTTAGCAAAGTTAAAGCATAAAATTAAAAGAACAGTGAACTCTTTCTAAGCATGAAGCACAAGGACTCCTTCTTAAGCTCTTCTGTACACTACCACTTGTTACTGAATATTTCAAAACTTGCATGAAACTTTACTTGAAAGCAAATTTGAAAATTTTAAACAAATGTGTGGAGTAATCAAATCTGACAGTTTCCATTACACTAACCACCCCACAAACTAGGACTTCTTTTGCCAAGCTCCAAATGGCCATACACATCTCTCAAATCCTATTTCCAGTTTTCTATCTGGGCTAAATAATGCTCATTACTTAGATGCAGGATAACTAAAACTTGCTGTGTGTGATTAACGAACTTCCACCAGTTGGGGAATTAAAGCTAAATCCCTGATATGGATAGGTACAATGTACATTGCGTAACATGACAATATACCCTGCAAGCAGTGGTTTCTTCAGACCAGTCGCTACACTACGAAGTGTAGTGTTCAGTCTGGAGAAACCACTGCTCGCAGGGTACACAACAATAAATAAAAGCAAGAAAGAATAACATGCATTAATATATGCAATCAAAAGATGCAGAAATGAAAGAAACAAAGTGATGTCTTGCTGTAGGTGCACAAATGAGGCAACCACTTATAAACTGATAAAATCTTCCACAGGAAAATGACTTTCTCCTTTGCAGGCTCAAGAGTAATGCTTAGACATCTTTCCCACTGTGTTCATTTTCTCATGTAGGTCACATCAATTCAGTTCTCACTGGGCTGCCTTTCTCTTGAATATGAGTATATGTGGTTCTAAAAACAAACCAAGAGACAACAAAGATTCTGGTAAAAAAAACGTTGGCAAATACTACTAGAATTTTGAACGTTTGCAGAGTGATGGAGTGATGGGAAAAGTGTTTTTAAAACATAAACCTCCAGTTTCTCAACCTGCTACAGTTTTTCTCAATGCAACCCCTCAAAACTGCCACATTTAATTTGTTATAAAACGAAGTGATAGATATTCAACTTACCCGGGGCGTGCAACAGGAAATGGACCCAGCCTTGAGACATCTGAACACCTAAACGTCGCCATTCTTGCTCGGACATAAGCCTATCTCTTGGAACTTTTTTAGCGATGTCCTTCGGTAAAATTACGTGCCTTGAACATAAAAAGAAGTGGAGGTTACTTAGAATATCAGGAAATACATGACGAAAATTTTTATACCATTTTAGGAAGAACTTTCTGTCAGAGCAACTGCTAAGGGCATTTGCAATTCTTCGCTTCTGACAACATAGAGAAGCCCGTAACTCAAAGTTTTCTATTAAAGAAGAAATAATAAATAATACTGAATCGTTTACGCTATCATCACGGGTCTTCTATCGATACAAGCTAAAAAAAGTTAACGATGATAAACCACGTGTAAACCAGCAGTACACAAGTGCTTTATTACAGTATTTCGGTCAAAACATACAAAGTTCAGTTATTACCTGATTTCGTTGCCCTCGTCATCTGGAATTTTGGAGGAGTAGTAGATATCTTTAACCGACATTTTGCTGACAGATTTTGAAGAAAAAGCGAATGAAATAAAGCTGCACCGAACAGAAGCAAGTACGTAGCAAATCGAAATCCCTGTCGCAACGGTTGGGGAGGAAAAGTAATTACAAAATGTGCGGCTTTTATTTTGATTGGTCGAGAGGAAAACGAGGTCAGATTCTGATTGGTCAAAAAAATACTGCCCAGTTTCTTTCAGTTTTTTTTTTGTCGCCCGCAACGCCTGCCTTTATTTGACTGTCACCACCCCAACGGGTTCAACAAGGCATAAATCTCAGACATTTTACGTCAATTCTTACCCTTTTCGCGCCGGTATTAAACTGTAAATCGCACCGATCGACGATTCAATCATATACGGAAATGTAAGGACAATCTTGAGTGATAAAGTATTAGAAAATTTCTGTTTAAGGGTAGAATTGTACTATTTTATGCCTGTTACATGCAAACAAAATAAGGGTTACGGACTTTGTACCTGCACACAGACCCGTTGTTTTATTTTTCTTTTCGTTCTTTTCGAACGTCTACTCCCTTGCACTGGAGGTAAATAAATCCCCCGCGGTTACGCGCGCTCAACAAACTTTGAAGAGAAAATAAAGCCCGGCGGTGGGGGGGGGGGGGGGGGCCCCTTCGCAGCTGAATGTCCTTTTTTTTTTTTTTTTTGTGTTTGGTTCACGAAGTCTGCTCATGGGCAAAAGAAATAGATCGACCGCGCGGGGGACCTTGCGCAACACGAAAGTTTAGAAGAAAAGATGGGCGGGGTGGGGGGGGGGGGGGGGTGTGCTCCCTTAAGTAAGCTCTATAGGTATGTGCCGCCCCATCGGGTAGGGTTTTTGCCCCGTTTGGGTCTGAAAACAGGCATACACTTTGCCCATTTTGGTCTGGAATCGGATATGGTTTTGGAGGAAACTACAGGATTGACGGGATTGTATGAACGTCTTTATCGTTTCAATTCCAGATGAGTAAGAAAGAAAGAAAATGTCAAAAATATGCGAATTCGAAATGGATTGAAGAACTTTGAGTTTGTTTACGCTCTAATCTATGTAATGATAACAAAAGTTCTGCCTAAAGGCCACGTCTGAAAACAGGTATGGATTTTAGAAGTCTGGTCTGAGAACGAATGTGGAAAATTATATTTTTTGCTCTGAAATAGGTTCAGGAATTGGCGAACTGGGCGGCGCACCCCCACGAAGAATTCCCAGGAGTACCCGCGCGGGAAATAGAGGGTCTGTGAACAGGCTACGGACTTTGTAGTTTGTAGACTTCACTGTGTACACAATTGATCCACAAGAACTGAACGTGAATTTGTACACTTTGATTAAACAAAAACCATAAAAGCTTTTGCTTTGGGAAATGAATTTCATTTTCATGCAAATATTTTAAAGTATAACTTTATCCATAAATCAATTGCAGAAGTACACATCCATCGGCGTTCCCCTCCCTCCTAAGTGGCAAATTCTAAGGGATATGGACAAAGTAGTTATTTTTTCATGCAATTTAAAGAGGACAGATGGCAAATAATGCTGTTGCTTGAAATATGTTAAAGTCTAAGCACAATTTCAGTTGGGGGGGGGCTGAAGACCCACACCAGAGGTGTGAGTTTGTTGGGGGGGGGGGGGTCTTGGACGTCCTTCCCCAGAAAATTTTGAAATCTAGAGGCTCAGAAATGGTATTTTCAACATACTAAAATTCGGAATACTGCACCCAGACAAATCTTCCAATACTAGTGACATCATTGCAATCAATGAGTGATAATTTGAGGAGTGATCTGACTGTTTTTGATTTTAAATCATTGATGCAATCCTGGTATGAAATCCAGGAAATTTGAAAAAGTATTCAAGTCTGTATTAAAAGTCATTTTAGCCAAAATTCTGGAAGATCATGAAACATTTGCCGACTCTTGGAATAATTTACTTCCTCTATGGAGAAATTACCTTTTCTCACCCCTGGAAATGGTTTTTGGGAATCAGCAGCGAACAACACAGGGACTCAAGAGGTTCATAAACTGCAAAGGTTGTATTTTGCACGATTCTGTCACTTACTGTAACACCATATTTTTTTACTCAGTTAAATACATCTTGTTTAATTTAAGCTTTGAAGGACATTCTCAAATAAATTAATTGATATTAAATATAACACAATATATTATTCTATTCTTTTGGCCAAGTTAATGTACATAAACATTACAATATTAGAGAATTCAATGTAAGCAATCATAATAATTAAAATTTGTATATTAAGTTACGCAGTCTTACTCTTTACATATAAATAATCATTATTCAATCCTTTTTATACATAAATTCAAAGCAGCATTAAGGCAGTGCAAGCTAGTGAATGCCAATTTGTTTGACTTGTGCAATCATCAGCCAGTTCATTTTCTATTGGTTGCCATGTCAGTTCTTTCTCGTCTGAACAGCAAAATGTGGGGCTCTGAAATAATGATATTGCAATATATAAAATTACCATTCTCATGATTAAGAGAAATTTTACTCAAAGACTTGTCTGTTATCTTCGGTGAAGGATTGCTGTGGCCCATAACATTAAATGTTATAGCCGGAGTAGTCCTTCAGACTTATACAAATGGCAGATCTCTAGGTGTATTTATGTCCAGAATTTAATTCTCTAAATTTATATTAATTTTTATTACAACCTTTTTCATAAAGTAAAGCAAAACTCCCAGACAAACTGCGGCCCAGTACAGTTCCCCTGCTCACCTCCTTAAATCTGCTATGAAAAAATGTCCATCAAACTAAGAGGTACCAATAGTATTCAGTGACTAAGAATGAAAATTGTTCCCTTATTTCATTTTTAAAGCTGAGTACCATAAAATGTCCCACAAAAGTACTATCAGGCTCTCTTGTCATTTTTGATTTTAGTACCCCAGGCAGTACCAACCCAGAAAGTTTACGCGCTGAAAGTTACGAGATTTTTAGAGCGAAGAAACCCCGGGGGTAGTGTTAAGGGTATTATTATAATTTCATTTTACGTTTGCTTACTAGTATCATAGCTGAAACTGGCGTTTTGAGTGAGATGAATGCATAAGAGTATGAACAAAGAATTGAGCACAAAGTGGCACATACCTGGCTCATGTTTCATGTAATTTTCCCATCCTTGAGACTGTTGAACACCAAGGCTTCGCCATTCGGCCTCCGACATTAAATGCTTTTTAGGTACAAGCTTTGCTATTTCTCTTGGCAGCAAAACATGCCTTGAAAAGAAAACGAAGGATAAGACGACTTGCAAGAGTGTGGCGTTCCGCCAGATGTTCCGCCATGCCAGACGGCTTAGATCAAAATAAACACTTTCGGCCTACTTTCTTGCGAAGAGAAAATTTTGCCTTCAGAGTTTCTTTTTTTACAGAGCTTGAGAAACTTGCTAGCGTTAATGTTTTTATTAAAAGTTACAGCAGGGTTTTTTTTATGTTCGTTCGCTGCTGACTTTTCAAGACGCGAACTTAAATGGCTGCGTGCTTGGGCAAGATAGCAAGCCACACTAAAAGACATATTTGAACTTTTCAAAGGTTTTACCTGTACTCAAAGACGTCGTCATAGTATTTTTCGGAGTAATAAATCTGCTTGACGGACATTTTCTTCAAACACGCGTTCACAACACGTAGACCTTGCTTTCGCGGAGTTTCTTTCAAGATTAGCGCGCTAGTTTCTGATTGGCTCCTCTCGAAAACGCGGAAGCTTGGGTCCAAACTCCCAAAACGCATTTCGCGTCAGAAATTTCAAGATGGCGGACGTCTACGTGGCTTTTGCGCTCTCACTTCACAAACTTTTTCATTTTCCAAAATCTACCCTGTTAGCTGAATTTCAAGGGACGACATCTAAGGGCAATAAAGCTGTATGAAATAAATGCATTTTGTAAGATGACAGACTCTGAAGGACCTAAGGAGCGTGTGTTGAGAAGGCTTGAAACAGACATTACTTCTGCTGACGTTCGCTGGAGTTTGTTTATTTCAGCATTAGAAAGCTACAGACATGACAGTATATTGCGACCATTTCCTTCTGCATATATAGAAGATGATGGGAACAAGAATTTTCAGGTTCTGGTGAGTGCTTGACAAAAAGAATTTTTTTTAAACAAAAAATGCTAGTTAGCTGAGGGCCATTCCATTTTATGTCCATACCCACCTTGACATGATTTTCTTTAAAACTTTTGATTTTTGATTATGTAAGTCCCCCTCCAAACCTCCAAGAATAAAAGGGCAAAAAATGAAGAATTCAGGATATATCTGTCCATTTTGGGAGAAACAAACAACCTGTCCAAGGATCACCATGTTTATTTATTTTTTTCCTATTTTTCAAGATTCAGATTTGTAGCACAGTTCCTTCGTTTGACAAGTTGGTGAGAGGTAATCAAACTATTATTTCTCAGGAAGCTTGGGAACTATTGGATTGGTCACTGGACAGAACATTTACTCTGAAAACAGTTGACAAATCTAAGGTATTTGAACTTCCATTCCAATGTAAAGCTGTATGGAGACAAGCAAACAGTAGTTACTTTTCTCTGAATGTTGGTCTTTGCAAGTTGCAAAGGGATGTCATGATATTTCCACCCAAAAACCATAGCTTCACAAAATAAAGTGGTCCTTGCGAGGTGCAAGACAACAGGGTGATGTTCTTACTTGAAGAGCATGAGCCTCATATGCCCATAGTCTCACTCTCTACATTTTTCACTCTAACTACAATGACTTTATTCTTTGGGTTCCTGCATGCTCATAGGCTATGACCAATGTAAAATTACGCGTTCTTTGAAGCCTAAAAATGTAAAATATCTGTTGTGGTTCAATTTTATCCTTGGTTCAAATTTTATTTCCCTTTGTTTTTGGGTATGGTAATGTATGATAATGACTTTGAAACAAAAGAAAATAAAATTTAAACCAAGGATAAATTTGAACCACAACATACCCATATGCATCTTCTACCTCCCACCCATGAAAGGACTGTAAAAATTGCGGCTCTGAGGGAAGGGGAAGGGAAGCCTCTAACCACCACAAACCCCCAAGCTAAGGTACAGGAAACACTCCCATATAAGATCCTGTGGATTTAAGAACCTCCAGGCAGAAATTTGCCACTTTAATACCCAAAAGCAGGTTCTTATATGTGGGTTGCAGTTAAATAATAATAATACAGTTTAACCAAGGAGTGTATAAGACAGTATAACATGAAGAACATACTATACCAAACTGTAACTGTATTAATCCGAACAACAAAAGTAAGTTTTTATAAAGAACAGACTGTAATTTATTATTGTCTTCATGGACAAGGGGTATATTTTTAAAGGACCAAATCCAAGTTTATTTGTTTTTCTGGTAATCAATAATCTGTCATAGAAATAAAGAACCAATTTGGTAGACTTAAAAAAAAAGTAGGTTCTTTTTGCGGGTGTTAACTGTTGGCAGTGAACTGTCCTGAAACGCACCTCCTTACAAACTGGTCACATAAAACTCTGTCCGGCATACATCCCACCAGCCTTTAAGATATTTTTTCTTGTAATATTTATGCTTTAGTTCTCCGAGATAGAGCAGAAGACTGGTCAGGCAAGTTACAGTTCCACAGAACCTGATTACATATTTGAAGTTGAGTACAGTGAGACAAATACTCACAGCACAAAGTTTGATGAATTATCACAGTCCTGTGATGTTTGGTATGCTTACCATGGCAGCAGAGTGGACAATTTTCATTCCATTGTACACAATGGATTGCATGCACATTTAAACAAGGTAAGTCTTCGCGTGTTTTTGTGTAGTTCTTTTAGCTTACATCTGGAGAAATGATGCTCTTGCAATAATAAAGCATACAAGTCCTTGGAAGAAACAACCACCATGTCAAACATACATTTTCACTCCACACCAACTACTTTGTTAAAAACTTTGTTACAGAATGTAGTTATTCCTATGGCCAAATTAAGAGCCATTGTTGTAATTTATTTTTGAGCAAGAGTGAAGACAAATAAAGATCGTTGTAGTTGTTGTTGTTAAAGAGAATTAATCCCACCAAAGTGTTCTCCTTATCAGGCGGTAACCGGTAAAATTTACGGCCTGAAGCAACACTTCTTACCACCTGCAACTGCTTGAAGGTTTACTAAAAGTAAATAAATTGCTTTAAAAAATACTCAAGTTATGATCTGATCCAATTTCCCCGAGGAAGTGAATGAATATATGGAAAAGTACTAAAGTATACACTGGCAGCTTTTCTTTTTATATGGGCCTCGCATTTTGGAAAGAGAACATAAAAGACAGAGTAAAGTTATTAGAACCAAACGTTTTAAATAACTGTTGTCTAAAAATAACTTCAGCCAATTTGCGTAAAATAGGTCTTAAAATGAAAGAATGAGAGAACTTAGCTCCTAAATTTCCCAGTGAGGGTGGGTGCACTAACCCCTCCCCCCGGAAAAGTACACCTCTGGCCCTAGTTGTTCAAAAATCACTATCCAGTGGATAAGTTTTAGGAAAACCAATAATATTGCGCTATCCCGTGGATAGAGATTTATCCACTGGATAGTGTTATCCACCTTTTGAACAACTGTGGCCTGGTGCATATTTTTTGCCTTACCGGCCATGATTAGGGATGGCGAATGGTACCTCGAAAAATGTGGGTCTCGGAAAATTTTGGCAGAATCTCGAAATCTTGGAAGCGTTTTTGACAAGTCTCGAAATCTCATTTTTGCATGGTTTGTTTTTACTTTTTTCGAGTCTCAAAACTTTTTACCAAAGAGTCTCGGGCTCGGATTTCTAACTAGGATCTCGGCGTCTCAATGAGTCTCGGATTTTACCATTCGCTACCCCTATGATTGGTTCCTTACCTGCTGAGCTAAAATGTAGGCAGAACACTGTATTTCCCAGTCATCTGGCAAGTGCCATCCCAGAGGTCACTGCATAGGCACCGCTAGAGTAGACCTGGACTGGCTCGCTTAAGCAGCTGCCAATTATCTTTTTTTAATAACCTTAGACAGTGGTTGTTTACCATTTACAAAAAAGTTCCAGAAAATCCAGTTGGAAAGAACATGTAAATGAAACAAGACTTTTGGGTTGTTTCAGTGGAAATTTCCAGGAGCAACTGAACATCTGAACAGGTAGTCCTGTTTTCTTGGTCGCAATGCTCCAAACAGACATTTGAGTTCTATTTCTTTAAAGCCATCTATGATACCAGTTTCAGGCTTTAGTGGCCATTTTATGGTAAATGGAACTGATTTATAGTGCAAATGATAAAGGTGATTCCGGGTTAAAATTAACCAGTCCTGAATTTTGCTTACCATTTACTTAACACCTGAACAGATCAGTTTGCCCAAGCATGTAAATGGTAAACAACCAGTGACAATACCTTAATTTCTCTCTTCATATAGACATCGTTCTTTGGCGAAGGAACCTACCTTTCAAGTGACCTTGCTGTATGCATGATGTATAGTAACTATGGACAAGGGTGGAAGAACAGTGCAATTGGAGACAAAATCAGCTGTGTTGCAGTCTGTGAGATCTTGGACCACCCAGATGTCAAATGCACAGTCAAGTCAAAAGATAGTAATGAGAGACAAAACCGTTCACGAGCCCGAGCAAGAAACAGTGAGGGAGGGGATGTTCCTGAGAAATATTATGTGGTCACAAATAACCAGGTGGTCAGAGTCAAATATGTGTTGGTATATGCTGAGAAGAAAACTCCAGCTAGGTATGTTCAGTAAGCCCCAATGTCCACATACAAATTCTCCAGACCGACCTCAATACATTTCCTTGTAAGAATTAGTCAAGAGAATTTGACAAAAAAATCAAAGCATTTTCCCTTCAGAGATCATTTTGATAACTCTCCTAACCTTTTCTCTTAATGATAAATTGACACTGTTGGGAGAAAGTAGATGTTGGTGACTCTTGGGGCTTAAAGGGTTAACTATGAACTACATGTACTGTATTTGTTAGCCAGAAATGTTCAGAGCCAACTGTATCTAATCTACCCCATTACTATGGCCACTGGCCAATTTTTGGCCATGTCCCCAAACCTTAATTTCTTCACCATTTACCTTTTTAAGAACATCAGTTGAATTCTTGGTTAAAGCAATCAAGCTTCATCTTTGAAAGTCCTTCCAAGTTTACTGAGTAGTCAATGATGTGTGTGACAAATATTTTCTGGATCTAGTATAGGGAGAAGTCAGAATTAAACTGTATTTGTCATCACATAGTTCAAAAATTAGTCAAGTATATGAACATCACACATGACACTATGCTTTTAACATGACCAGATTTTCACTGCCAAAGCTGGCCTGACCAGAGTCTTTGTAGAACTACATTAACACTCAAAAAATGTATGATAATTTATAGCATTAAAAGTGCTAACAATATTTCTTTGTTTCCTTCTAGGGCTCAAGGTCATAACTGGCTTATATTCAGATATCCAATAGCATCTATGATGCTTGCTTATATCTTCATTTTAATCCTTCTCGGTTTGTCGAGAACTAGACTTTTCCAAAAGCTTTATGGCAAATATTTTAAAGGCAGTTAGTATATATAATATTATTAGTAAGGTTTTAACTCTTGATATAATTCAATTAAATAGGATAATAATAATTATTTAAATTTAATGTTACGCTTAAAAAACAAAACAAATTTCTAAAATAGTGGACAAGCATTTTCAAAGAGTTTTACTTAACACAGAAATAGACTTGTACACTGTTGATGCTCATGTGTATGTCCCTAAAACCATGCCTAGTGTTTGAAAAAAGTTGACCACAGTGAACGTGCACTAGTTTTTCAAGCTACTTTGCAAGCATTCCACTCAAATAATAAAAAACAAATACCAATAATCAAAACAGAACACAACAGGATTAAATCCCAACTGGTTGGGGGCAACAAGTTGGCCATTTGAATGTGGGACAACCAAGAACCAAATCCCAAAAGCTATCAGAGTAGGGACTCTAACCTGGGGCCCCCTGATTGTGTGTCTGAATTGCTGATCATTTGGCTATGCACCTCCCTTTCCCTTGGGTATTCTGTGCAGAGTAAATGCACAGGGCTACTACTAGGGGTGGGTCTTACACCAAGTATAAGCCACATGGAGTGACGTGTCTCGCAGACCTATGACGTCAGGGTCAGCTTTTGCTGTCCATATTGAAGGGTTTTAAACGGACAAAGCCTCCTCAGTTTCTAAACTTAATTATGTACACAGAAAAGTAATTTTGGGGATTCTGTAAGCAACCAACCTCTATTGTGTGAAACCAGGTCGTACCAGTGGCTCTTTCTTATTCTTCTAATAAATTTAAGATATTTTACAAAAATTATACAAAAATGCTACATTTGACAAACCTTGATTTTTGCTTGTCAGACCCAGCCTTTACAGTTGACTGTTGGGTGAAAATTGCTCCTGACTACTGTTAATGATTTTACAAATGTATTGAAAGGTTTATATTTGTAACTTTTGCAGAACAAGGAAATACATTTTCTAATCATCATTATAGGTATATTAAGTTCAGATTTACTTCTATTTATGAGTTTTGATATGCTTATAAGTTATTTCTATTGACACGATATTACCTTTTTGTATCAGGATGGAGACTAACATCATGTAACATAAGAATATATTTTGGTTGCGCTCTTGAGGAACGTTGTAAAACTGACATATTTGTGCTCGTTTTCATGAAAAAATAAATTCACCAAAATTGGGTCCATTTTGCGGTTCTAATATTGTAACCGTTAGTAAGCCTCCCTTTTAAGAGAAAAAAGTTTAGTAAGCCATTTGGATTGTAAAGATGATTGCCTCCACAAAAACACTGCGTCACGCAATCAGCAAAAGAAAAGCTACTCGCTCTCTTATTCCTATGAGTCACTTGAGAAGACAGTAATCTTGTGAGGATTTTCACCTTCCTGGTGCCAAATGTAGTATCGAAAAATATGTCACAACCCTCCAGTATTACTATCGTGAAAAAATGGCTTGTAACTTGGCTATTTTCTTCCCTTTATCGCTTAACACCATCTCGTTTTCCCTTTAACATGAAATCGAGGCTAAATAAAAATGTCGATTTATCGGCTTTGTCCTGGAATTTTTTCTTCAAAAAAAATTTAAAGAAATAAGTCGTCCGAAAGTTGTCTGAAAGAGTAACGTTTTAACACGGCAGGATAAAATAGAAAACACTTTTGGAGTTTCTATTTCGTTGAACAAAGATGTGTGTGACATGTCTCAGAAGACGATATTTATCATGTGCTCGTTTTAAAAGTATCTTGGAGAAGTCTAAGGATATATAGGACCATGTTGGTTTTCTTGTGGAACGAGTCTCTAAGAATTTATTAGGTTGCAACTTTTAGCCTCGCTTTCACGTTAAATTTATTTTTACAATTGTCGACTTTTGAAAACATAGCCATAACGCTAAACTTGTACCCCAATTTAAAACCACGAACTATCTAGCCAAAAGAGGGTACTTAAATCTATCAAAAACCACCATCAAACCTTTTCTGTCCTCTGGGTTAAGCAAATCGGACTTTAGTTTATTTCAGCGTGAAACCGATCGAAAAAAATAACTTCGACACATAGTTGGGGATTGTTTGATCAAATCAAGAACTGACTCAGAACTGAGGTGGTATCGGAGTGACAACCTCGTCCCCAGGGCTTTTTCCTTAGAGGATAGGAGGGGTGCCTCCCTCGTTCCCAGACGTCTCTCTTCGTCCTGTTAATGTTCTTAAAAATACGGACGAAGGAAAGTTGAAAGCCGACTAAGCCTTAATTCTCCTTTTCCAAAAGCAGGGCAGGAGAGTGCGAGAAAGAAAAGGCGTCAACAGCTTTGCTCCCTTAGGGCGGCCAAATTGAAAACCAAAAGCTGCCCTAGGGACACGGTTGAGACGGTTTCATTTACCCAATGTGAAATGTTTGCCCACAAAGACTGGCTACCGTTGGATCTTTCGAGAATAGTCAACCCATAGAACGTTCGTTTGGAACCGTGGGCTCCTTCACAAGGGCAATTATTTTGTTCCGGACTTTTTGACGCATATAATGTACCCACTACAATATCCCGCCCCCGTACCCGTCGGCAATTTCACTTTGGGAAGGGTAGTACACAAAAGTTGCTTCCCCTTAGGTAAGAGTCTTTTACCCCGGGTAAATTGGATTGTTTAACCGCAGCTTTTACATAGCTTCAAGATATTTTTTCTTGCGGGAACAAAGCGGGAATTCCCGAGCGAGAAAGAGAGGCTCATCCTGCCCGTTCGGGTAGCCAATCAGAACTCAAGTTAAATTCGCTTCACCTTGACCGCTCGAGGAGCCAGCCGTATAGTAAAGGGTGTTCCCAAAGACGACAAATCTATCTCAACTGTTCACGCCCTCGTCCTCGTAATTCAAGGTATGCTATACTTGAATTTTAAGTCTGAATTAATCGTTTTTATTCACAATTAATCATTAATCGTGAATAAAATGAAAGCGCTCATAAATCTATGTTTGTAATCTATAATAAGTTTAAAACATCGTTTTTATGCACTCGGTTGAAGTGGTAAGTTTAGTAAGACAGTACCTGGTACCATGATCGCGGACCATTATAACTTAACCTTCACTGAAGCAAAGTTCAGTAACTTACGCTGACGCAAAAAACGTTTACGTTACCTAATATATGACATGCAAACTGTCTAGCACATAAAACTCACCCTGAACTCACCTTCTAGTAAGTTCGATCATCGTAGCTGCTATCAATGGTATAACCCAAATTAAATCGTCCTTGATGTTAAACCCGTCATCCTGTTTTTTAAGAACAGTTTTTTATTCAGAACCATTCAAAGCATTTGAAAATCGGTTTAGGGAACTAAGAATCGTTTTGATTTTATCATCTTGTCGATCACAAGTTGTCTCGGCTCGGTAGGTTAAAACGGAAAACCTAAACGTCCTCCAAAGGTTCTTAGCTACTTACTCGAGATCTTTCGGTCTACTATTTTCGCGTACTCTATTGCATTTTCATGGAAATTTCTCCAGTAGCAGTCGCCTCGAGAAGAGCCTCTGAAACATCTCGAGAGACCACTCAATCATCATAAGTAATAGCAGGAATTTCTTAACAAAATCTTTGCTCTGCCCGTCACGCTGCTGTGCGCATCACAGCGTTCGACAGAACTAAAACGCTTCAGTGGCTTCCAAAAAGGTTGAAATATGCTTTGTGAGCAGGGGGACATTTTTCACGCGCGCTTGGGTTTTTCGCTCGCCCAACCATCCACGAGGAAAATGAGGGACTACAGTAAAAGCCTGCGACTAAGAACATGGTTTTAAAGAACCTGTTAGGCTAAAATTTGCTAGTTAGGCCCCAAGAATCGGTCAAGCCTAAAATTTAAAACAGGTTCTTATTTTCTAAAATATGAAGAAAAATTCTAAACACTTGGGCAAATAAGATACAGATATGGTGACATAGGTGCCTTATTACTCCAACTGCAATTGTAATGGTATATAGGTTTTACCTAAGGAGTGAGCTGAATACCACTAAATACTCTTAGCTACAAAATTAGTATTTTTTCTTCAGAAAATAAGAACCTATTTAAGAACCTAAATAGCCTAAATTTGTGCTAATTACCATTTATGTAAGAACCTATTTAGGCTAACTTGGGAAAATGCAGATTCTTAGTCGCGGTTTTTTTGCTGTACTCGTAATGTACGCATGCGTTATATTAAATTTGAAATTTAAGGTGGTTGTGTAATCTCTTAGCTTGTTACGAGATTGTAATTGATTGCTTGAAACAAACGGTGGGAAGGGAGAAAAAAAAAACAAGAAAGAAAGAAAGAAGAAAAAGCGTTAAATTGAGTCGACTGATAATGCAAGACCAGATAGTGCTCTAAATGACCATAACTTTTGAGATAAACTTCCGTCCGTGCAAGATATAGAAGATAGGAGTCCTTGATAAGCTGTATAACAGTTCCTTTCCCTACTAGACACTGAAGATCTGATCCGAACTAAACAGAATTCCTTTTAGTTGCATCACGTGTTCATGTGGACGTGTCCAGTCCTATCTCGTTCACAACAGGTAGTTGTGTTTCCCATCTCAAGTAGTAATGCACAAAGTGCACAAGAAGCTATCATTCACTCTAAAAAGTTGTTTTTCAACGTTAATTGTGAATTTAGGCCTAGTAATCAATAACCTAAGCGAAAGAACGATACAATTTGTTCTACATTCATGTACATATTGCCTGCTTTTAAGTACATAACTGACAAGTTTTTTGTATCATTATCAGCTTTCCAAAACCAAAATATTATATCTGTGGGGCAAACGAACATGGCACAAAAAATCGCACTCATACTCAATCTCATACTTGTTGCCCAATCCTAGCAAGGGCAATAGCAAGGGCAATACGCGTTACTTTTCAGTCAAAAAAATGAATTAACGTTCCTCTTTTATTCATCAGATGTTTTTTGGATAATATTTTTGTATTACATTATGTGTCCATCGAAGCCACCGAAGCCACAACTGAGATACAAGTTCAAGTTTAAGAAGCGCGGACTTCAAGGAAATGAGTTCAAGGACTGCCTTACGTCAAAAGTCGACGAACTGTCACAAGGCATAAAGAGAATCAAGACACTGAAAGGTAATGCAGTAACGGATGTTCGAAAAGAAGTTTGTATTCGAGAAAATTTATCAAACTCATATCTAGATCAACGATCCCCGAGAGCAATTGCCAATTTTCGTCGGAAACGACAGGACTCCAAATCCAAGTCTGACTCCAAGCGATTCTTCTCCGAATCCGAGAGGGACCCGGAACGAATCTTGCGAGCAACAAAAGACACCCCAATGAGGCACAAGAGAGCCGTGTCAGTCCCACCAGGGGAACAAAGGCTCGATAAACTATGGAACCAAATTTACCATGAAGAGCAGGACAATTTGTTTGCAAAACATTTGCTAAAAATAGAAGAGTTGCGTGATCTCCTTCCTGGCATAGAAGTTCATGAAGGATATCTTTTTCGCCGTAATGGTAAGAAGTTATATCAGCTGAACCGTATAGACTTCTTCAATGTCATCGACAAAATTTCAGTTTTCTTTCTTGGAAAACTTGAAAAACTTCGCCCAAATAACCGTCAGACATTTCGTAACCAGTGGGGAATGACATTAGAATCAGTGTATGAAAGTTGCAAGGTTATATTGGTCTACAGAAACGCGGTGAACTGGTGTAATGACAATGACCTCATGTCGGGAAACTATGATACTTGGAAAGATCACGTGATGGTAATGATTTCATTTTCAGCTTTAATGGCTGTTACTAAAATGTTGTGTTTAAAACTTGAATGAGCTTGAAAGAAGGAATGATTTCGCTCTCAAACTTTGCCACAACTCGAACATGTTGCTTCACTTATTTCATCGATGAAGAATTTTCTTCCCACATGTACGATATTTCAGATATATTTCAGTAGAGATGGAGTCTGACTCGTACTAGAGTGATTATGAACTACTGAATTTACCATTTTCATGGGCAAACCTGTCGGTTCATGGTTTGGGTATAAAATGGTAAGCAAAATTCAGGACTGGTAAATTTCGGCCAGGAATCGCGTTTACCATTTACACTAATCAGTTACATTTACCGAAAAACGGCTGCGAAAGGCTGAAACTGGTATTATAGATAGCTTTGAAGAAATAGAACCCGAACTTCCGTTTGGAACATTCCCACCGGGAAAACAGGACTAGCTTTTCAGATGTTCCGTTGCTTCCGGAAATTTTCCGCTGGAAGGCGGACCCGAAAAGTCGTGTTCTATTTACTTTCCAACCAGATTTTCCGGAAACTTTTTGTTAATGGCAAACAACCGAGAAATTGGAGAACCAAGAATCAGAACGTTTGCACTTTCTTCCAACTTCCCCTTATTTCTCAGTCTCTTAGGATCTCGTGAAAACCAAACTGTCGGGGTTACAGGGAAATGCGGAAGAATCAACCAACTACAGTGTTCGTTCATTGGTTTATTCTTGTCTCTGCTTGCGACTCCGACAATCCGATCCCGGTCTGGTTATTTACAAGATCGTTAGTGACGGAATCATGAGCAGGACAACAAACTTCGCTTATGACTCCCTTGGTTGGTTTTTTAACTAGATTATGAGCTCCGTGTTTCAGATCAAGATTCGTGGCTCCGAATCCGACTTCAACTTCGTTGCTAGTGAAAACCAACCTTAGGTAATATTGGGAAGTATAATTCCATGTCAATCATAGTTAGATTTCTTACAAAGGCAACGCTTAACTGCCTCGGGTAGATTGATTGATTGAAGCGTTAATAGATTAATTCAGGAGGGAGGGGATGTCTCCAAGGAAATCACTGCTTCAGTCCTCCTGCCAGTATGACGTCACGTCTTGCTTCAATGACTTTCAAAATGGCGCCCAATTGTATGTTAAAACTTGAGAATTTTTCACGTATGTTCCAAGCGGTTTACTTATATTTGGCAGTTCTGATATTTTCATTTTTATGAACATCCAGTTTTTGGTTCTTTGTGAAACAAAACTTTGAATAGATTGTTAAATTTGTTTGACATTTTTCTAACGATAAGCAAAAATTCAGGAAAATCATTGTCAAGCAAACGTATCAACTAGTGCAACTTTCGACCCGGCTTTCGAAGACACAGTGCTGTCGACACACATCTTCCGAAAATTTTGGCTTCTGTTTAAAATATGTACTTATTTCAAGTTTATTCTTTACTAAGCTCTCAGGTATTCAGAGCACAAATGATGGCGAGTTGTTGGCCGGGGTATAGCTATGCATGGTCGCATTGAGGACCACTTCGAACGAAGGTTAACAGAAATGTCAGAGCGAGATGCAATAGAAGTGCCGGTTCATCCTTAAGTCATAAAAATAAAGGAGTTGAAATTCAAGTGTCTCTACATAATGTTCCTTCCCAAAATATTTTATTCTTTACATAATTATTGCTAAGCCGCACATTTATTGGCCATATCTATTCAGGTTGAAATTTGCGGGGTTTAAAAAACAATATAAAATAAGTACAAAAATTTAAAAATGAAAACCACAAAAAAAAACATATTAACTCATAAAACCATTAGCTATTTGGAGGCGATAGTCAAAGCAAACCGATCTTATCAATCCTAAAAATTAGATTGAATAGGAGCAATTTATGTGACACCGTGAAGTCCATCTCGTTGTTTCTTTGTTTGCTTAAAAGCGCACACATTCGGAGGCCTTTTGCTGTCGCCTTTTCATTAGCTCAACTTACGTTTACTACAGTATATATCTTCTATTTCGGCTTGCCTTGCTTAAAGTAGTATTTCGCTCTCTGTATGTATTTTCGAGAAAAGGACTGACAAGAAAGAAAGAAAGAAAGAAAGTTACTCCTAAAATCAGATTCTGCGGTTAAAACATCGCACCTTTTGTTGCGTAATCAGCTACAAACTATTTGAACAATTTAAAACTTTCTTGTTGTTTCTCCTCTCACATATCATATTTTAACCATATATATATATATATATCTTTGGTGTTGGAATATCCTGTATAATCCACATATACACAAACCTCCTTACTCGTACTTCTCAGGTTAGTTAAGAAATGTATTTACAATTACTCTTTGTCAAGATCACATACGTGCCTCTAATTATGACCAAACAGCTGGCATGTTTTTGTTCATTTGCCGCTGCGCTCATTGCAGCCAAAAGATCGGAATTCCTAGACAAAGAGTTTAACCACAGGTAACCCAGGCTCTGTGATAGTACCACAGTACCGTTCCAGTAAAGTTACAGTGTTTGTATGGGGTAAAAATACCATCCTAAAATTTCTAGGGAATACTAAATAAAGATTAATGAAACTTACTCTGCAGTTGATTGTTGTTGTCCTTATTGCTCCAACGAAGTTTCGTGATAATTTGCAGTAATTTGTTCAAATTCACTCTATATACAATAATAATATACAAGGTAGGAAACACGAGACATTTTCGCCGGCATGCTCTCATTCAACACAACTTTTTCCACGAAATTCGAACTCCAACGGAAAATAAACATGCCAGGATCGTAGAAATAGGATAGCAGCAGATATAGAAACCAATGAAGTTTTCCCAGATAGAGAAACGAATCCCACAGACTTTGACAAACTCGAAGGACATAATCCAAACAGACCGAGAATATGCTCGCCGAAGCAGCCGGGCCAGATCAACGCGCGGCCAAGAAAATGAGACCTGGGCACTGTACCAAAAATTCCATCCCGGGAGTCCTGAGGTGACCTTCTGGGGATACATCATTTGCCCAAGGCCACCCTCCCCCTGCTGGGGCTGCCCGTTCGGGTAGCCAATCAGAACTCAAGTTAAATTCGCTTCATCTTGACCGCTCGAGGAGCCAGCCGTATAGTAAAGGGTGTTTCCAAAGACGACAAATTTATCTCAACTCTTTACGCCTTCATCCTCGCAATTCAAGGTATGCTATACTTGAATTTTAAGTCTGAATTAATAGTTTTTATTCACAATTACTAGTAATAAAGCGCTCGTAAATCTATGTTTCTAATCTATAATAAGTTTAAAACATCGTTTTTATGCACTCAGAAGTCATAAGCTTAGTGATGTATAGCTAATTATTCATTTGTCGCAACTAATTGTATATATCTTACATCAGAACAGTTTTGTGAATAAAACTTTCACCAACACGTAGCCAATCTCTTTTGTCGCAGCACATCTCGGAGCTAACGTGACATCCAAGTTCTTTAATTTTCGGATAGCTTCGTTCTGTTTCCTCCAGACGATCCGTTTAGTACGTAGATTCAGCTTTCAACTTCAACTTTATTCATTCATTCACACATAATTTATAACATTCACGATAGCTTCGCTTTCTTGAAATAGTCGTGACTACGACAACAAGATATAGCCCGTTAAAGCGTTCAGTCACTTACGCAGACGCAACAGACGCAAAACACGTTACGTCTACTCACCTTTCTAGTATTAAAGTTCTATAGTAACTGCTATCACTGAATGGTATAACACAAATTAAATCTTCCTTGACGTTAACCCCGTCCTGTTTTTTTTACGAACAGTCTTTTATTCAGAACCATTCAAAGCATTTGAAAATGGGCTTAGCGAACTAAGAATCGTTTTAATTATATGATCTTGTCGATCACAAGTTGTCTCTGCTCCGGTCTCGGCTCGGTAGGTTAAAGCGAACAAACTAAACCTTCTCTAAAGGGTCTTAGCTGCTTACTTGGGATCTATCCGTCTGCTATTTTTGCGCACTCTTTTGAATTTTCATGGAAATTTCTCTAATAGCAGTCGCCAAGAAGGGAAGCTGTAGAAGGCCTAAATGTAATAAACGGTCCTAAATGTAATAAAGTCCTAAATGTAATAACATTTTGTCCTAAATGTAATAAAATCCTAAATGTAATAAGAATTTGCCTAAATGTAATAAACTCTTAAGCTGCCAATTACAGTAATTACTCGAATAAGCCCTGCCCTCAAATAAGCACCGCATTTGGGGCGCGGGGGAGTTAATTAGCGCCGCGGCGCTTATTCGCGTAAATACGGTACTAAGTGGTATTGCCATGGTATTAAACTCCGCTCTCAAATAAGCACCGCATTTTTGGAGAAAAAAGTTAATAAGCGCCGCGGCGCTAATTCGCGTAAATTCGGTACATTTTCTTATGCACTGTGAAACTTAACGTTTAAAAATAAATTGCTTGTAAACGGCAAAGTAACAGTATTTTTGTAAAAAAGCAATATTTCAGCAATAGAAAACTTTTTTCCTGTGTTTGAATAGCCTGATATAAACACTAGAGGGGTTGGGAGAATTCGAGACAGTTATGCAAATCCTCAACGTCGTCTCAGGTTTGCATAACCGTCAACATCGAATGTGGAATAAAGTCCTAAATGAAATAACATTTTGCCCTAAATGTAATAAACTCTTAAGCTGCCAATTACCGTATTTATGCGAATAAGCATCGCTCTAAAACAAGCGCAGCAATTGGGATAAAAAGTTAATAAGCGCCGCTGCGCTGATTCGCGCGCGTAAAGACGGTACATTACCAATTACCATATTTACACGCATAAGGGCCGCCTTCAAATAAGCGCCACCATTGGGAGAAAAAAGTAAATGAGCGCCGCGGCCCTCATTCGAGGAAAACAGTTCTGATATATTCACGTTTATGAATAAATTTCTTCAAAGCGACACAACAGTTTCTTGTCTATTAAGTATACTTATTACAATTAGGGCAAAATGTTATTACATTTAGGCATAAGGAAATGTACCGAATTTACGCGAATTAGCGCCGCGGCGCTTATTAAGTTTTTCTCCAAAAATGCGGCGCTTATTTGAGAGCGGAGGTTAATAC